GTCTATAAAACTCCACCATCTGAACTCTCTTGTCCCACTAGATCTTTATGAGGAGTGTCACAACCAAAGACGTAAGAAATTCATTGGGTAGGCAAAGCAAGCTACAAAAATCAAAGAACAAAAATGTTAAAAAAATTGAACAAACCCCTAGGGCTAAAATTCATAGTAGAGAACTACTCAGAATTCGAGACCTTCCCAAATGCTCAGATAGCAGTATAGACTAGGCCTCAACATCTTAGAGGTTAGAGAAAAACATGTGGTTACCTACTAGGTTAAGGATGGGATGAAAGTATACAAATAGGTTGTTCACTAAATACTTGTATACTCACTCCTCTCTTCATTTATGTTTTATGGTGAGTGATGTTGTTGGACGAGGTTGGGAGTGCTCGAGAGCTGCACTATCACAGAGGGGTGTCGACTCAAGGCATTAGTTTAGTCTGTATTTTCATGGATGGTTATTTTTACACATTTTTTATTACGTTCTCATTCTCCATTTGTAAATAATTTAAACAACACCTATTTTGTAATGTTTTCGTATTGGATTTTGATTATAATGTTGTATGACTTTGATTTGCACAAAATTTTACTATACTTTTGCTTTTATTTGTTTATTATTGTCTTGACTTTTAGTCACGGGTCTGATGACAAGTCAATGTCATGTACAATTTTTAGATGCATTGAATTGCACATGATTTGGGCATCCCTTTCAAATTTTTGGACCCCTTTCACATGGACATGGAACCATGCGAGAGAGTTCGCTAGTTAATCTCCCCTAGATGATGTTCAGATTAGCAAACATCATATTGTCCCACCAAATCATTTTAAGGTAGCGCCTTAATCCAAGACGTTAGACACTCACTGTGTAGACAAAGTAAGCTATTCAGAGTAGAGAACTGCTCGAAACTTCAAGGCCTTCTCAAATGCTAAAATAGCGTAGAGACTAGGCCCAAAGCCTAGAGAAAAAATCTTAGTTATCTACTAGGTTAAGGATGCGATGAGAGTCTATAAGTTTTATACTCACCTCTTTCTACAATTTTTTTTTTAGAGATGAGTGATGCTACTAGTCGAGATGAGGAGTGTTCGAGAGCCGAGCTTTCACATAGGAGTGTCGACTCGAGACGTTAGCTTAGTCAATATTTTTATAAGTTGCCATTTGTAGGCCTTTTGTATTCGGTTCCCATTTCCCATTTTTTAATAATTTGAACTGCACATGTTTTGCAATGTTTCCGTTTTGGATTTTAATTAGTGTTGTATGACTTTGATTAACGCACAATTTTACTGTATTTTTTCTTTCATTTGTTTGTTATTGTCTTGTTTTTTCAGTCACAGTTCGAGATTCGAAACTTTCAAAATTAGGAATACAAAAAAATTAACAAACTAAAATAATTTTTTATATGCAAAAAGTTTAGAAATTAAAAGAAAAACATATAGAGTGATAAAATTCAAACCTATTTAAAACTTGAATATAATTTTTCAACCAAAGGGGTCTAAAATTTCTTACTTCTCATGACAAGTCAAATGTCTGCATGATTTGGGCATCCCCTTCAAATTTTTAGATGCATTGAATTGCTACAAGTTTGACTAACAGTGAGAAGTCAATATTGGCACAGGATTTAGGGTTTGAATGTTGAATGAAAAGTCGTTTGAACGTTGTTCTTTCTTAATTAATTTATATAAATATCTTAATTACCGTCCCGTCTATTTTAATCTGGCACTATTGAATTTCTACTTAAAAGGTGATTTTGAAAGTTAAAATGATCGAGAATATTTTTTAATAATTTACACCTTTAGTAAGGTGAACATAGAATTGTAATAAGAAATCTTAGTTTTCAAACTTCAATATCATTATAATTCAAACTTCTCAACCAAAAATTTAAGAAACCAAAGCACACTCAACCTTAAATGATGGGAAGATTATAGTTGAAAGAGAAAGTATAAAGTTTGAATTCAACCCAAATGATGAGAAAATTAGAGAACATAAGACTGAAAGAGCGTTCTCGAAAGTACAGTGAGGACGAGAGTGCAGTTGGAGAGACAACTAATAGATTTAATGGGCGAGATTTTGTTCCAAATAAAATGGTTTTGGTCTAATTCCAAAGGTTCTATTATCGAAACTGATATGACATATGTTTGACATGCAATATGATGTATTGGTATAATGCACAATCTCAGTATATGCCTGGAAAGTTATGATAAAAATGCTATGATATGAAGGAAAGCAAAATGGCTTGTTTTGCGTGATAATGAAAGAAAAATGTTGGGAGGCAGGAAAACGTCTATACTCTCTTTTATGATGGTATAGAAGCGTACGCTACGAGACAGGAAAACGATCATTATGTTCATTATAATGCTGCAACGATCGCTATTCCTAGCGGCTGTCTGACAACAATGAGAATGCTAGCCTAACCAAGAAAAGGGGTCCAGGAGGTGTACGAACCGACTAGTGGGTCCATACTCGCACGTGTGGCCCGTGTGTAGAATAGTAAATACACATACAATTACCCGCTTAGGTTAGTCGTCTAAAGAAATACGAAAATAAAATGATAGGTCTCATTCATGATTGTTTATATTTGCATCTAACCCCAATAATGGGATCATGCTCAAGTCACATGCTACTTTTATTTCAGGTAAAAGCACGGGGAAGGCAAGTACATAAATCATGACAATGTTCTATGATAAAGTGTACAAAAATCACAATTTGAAACTTTATGTTATATATACCGTAGCAACTTTAAGTTATCTGAAATCTAGGGTCGTTACAATATGTAACAATTTTTTAAGAGGCTGGCTATCGTTTAAAGGACGCTAATTGAGTCAACGTGATCGATTGCTCAAAGTCTTTCCTCACTTGTCCTTAACAATCTCCTACTTTTATGTGGAAAAAATAATAAAGAAAATGTACAAGATAGGCCTAAGAGGGCCAACTTATTATTCAAATTGCATGACGTTTATCTTACGGCAGCCAATTCTCAGCCATCACAGCCATATGCCATTATATATCAATTCTTAGATCATCTAAAATCCTCAACCCAAACTCCAAAACTTCTTCAAACAAAGAAGAAAACTATGTTGAATTCAACCTCTTCCATTCTCCCTCTGCTACTTACCTTACTTGTCTTTCTTCTTTCAGTTTCAGTTTCAAACTCAGCTTTATTGGAGCAAAGTTTTCTGCATTGTCTCTCTACAAATTCTCAACAATCTGTCCCTCCTTTCTCTGTTTGTGCTCCAACCAATGCTTCATTCATCCCGCTTCTTCAGTCGACTGCACAAAACCTCAGGTACTCGGATCCTTCGGTTCCGAAGCCCGAGTTTATCTTCACTCCATTGTACGACACTCATGTCCAAGCAGCTGTGGTTTGCTCAAAGGGCCTCCAAATACATCTTAGAGTGCGTAGCGGTGGTCATGACTACGAGGGTCTTTCTTATGTTTCTCAAATCGAAACTCCTTTCATCGTTGTCGACCTCGCCAAACTTCGGTCGGTCGAAGTAAATATCGAAGATAACACTGCGTGGGTTCAAGCTGGTGCAACGGTTGGTGAAGTTTACTATAGAATCTCAGAGAAAAGCAATGTCCATGGCTTCCCTGCTGGTCTTTGCACTAGTTTAGGCATAGGTGGGCACATAACAGGCGGTGCATATGGGTCCATGATGAGAAAATATGGGCTTGGAGCTGATAATGTCATTGATGCTCGGATCGTCGACGTTAATGGCAGAATTCTCGATCGAAAGGCTATGGGAGAGGACCATTTTTGGGCCATTAGAGGGGGTGCTGGAGGCAGCTTTGGGATTATTCTCTGGTGGAAGTTGCGGTTGGTTCCTGTTCCAGAAACTGTGACAGTCTTCACTGTTCCAAGGACCTTGGAGCAAGGTGCCACTCAAATCTTGTACAAATGGCAGCAAATCGCAGACAAGTTAGATGAAGATCTATTCATTAGAGTCATAATACAAGTAAGCAGTGACAAAACCACAAAACAAAGAACCATTACAACTGCTTACAATGCTCTGTTTCTTGGAGATTCCAATAGGCTCCTCCAAGTTATGGGAAAAAGCTTCCCTGAATTGGGTTTGACATCAAAAGATTGTACTGAAACGAGCTGGATTAAATCAGTTCTTTATATAGCTGGAGAAGCACCAAGAACACCCCCTGAAGTTCTTCTACAAGGAAAGCCACAATTCAAGAGCTACTTCAAAGCTAAATCAGATTTCGTTCACGTCCCAATCCCGGAAGTCGGACTGGAAGGTCTGTGGAAAAAGTTGCTGTTAGATGACATGCCATTTATGATATGGAATCCTTATGGAGGAATGATGAGCAAGATCTCAGAGAATGAGATCCCATTCCCACATAGAAAAGGAAACTTATTCAAAATTCAGTATTTAACATCATGGCAGGGTGGGAATAAAGATGTTGAAAAACACATAGAGTGGATCAGAGAACTTTACAACTACATGGCTCCATATGTTTCCAAGTCTCCAAGAGCTGCATATGTAAACTACAGAGATCTTGATTTAGGTATGAACAAGAAGAACAATACAAGTTTGGCCCAGGCTAGCGAGTGGGGCAATAAATATTTCAAGGACAACTTCAATAGGCTGATAAAAGTAAAGACAAAAGTTGATCCTGATAACTTTTTCAGACATGAACAGAGCATTCCACCATTTGCAGTCACTAAATCATTCAGAAAGACAAGAAAGTTCAGAAAGAGCGGTAGTAACTAGTATGCCAACAACAATAAGCCACCAGTTAATAAAACTTATATCAGCGCTATCTAAGTAATGTAGAAGAGAAAATGAGGTTTTAAGTACTTACTGCTGTAGTAGACTGAACAATAGTTCTTCATCTTCTTTCCTTTTCGTGTCAAACTGCAGGTCAGCGTGTGCTTTCACAACTTACAATTATGTTTTACCTATAAGTGATGAGCGTCATGACACGATATCAATGTGGCATGGCTCAACATTTTGGATGTTGCAGAGCAAACTCGCACGTTTATCACTTTAGAGTATTTTGTCTCTACAAACCTCAACCGTTCATTGAAACATTAATGAGTCATCTGAACTCTGATACATCAATAACTCCTATCTGCTCATAACACCAAGCACTGAACTAAATTGAATTAATTTCTAAGACTAACAAATAACTTGACTTGTATATTCAAGACCAATTGTAAGTACTTAAAAATTAACTCAGAAACCTACAGATCTTCTGGGGCCATTCAAAGAGACCGGTTGAAAGTTGGTCGCTGGTGACTGTATGAAGGTCCCGTTGGTTGGTTGGTCATTTGTGTTCCTCCATTTGTGTAACATTGTCTATAAGTTTCAAAAAAGTGCAAACTCGATGGATCAGCAGGTACCAACAGATTACGCCTAATCTGCACAATAATTTCTGTGACAGTAATAATAACTGTTGATACTATTGATCTCAAAAGTACACGTCAATTACCACTAAGCTAGGAAAACTTTGACAACTAAAATATACCTTTTAGATACAACTCAACGACTATTGATTTCCTTGTTTCTTTGTCACTTGAACAGTAAGAGTATATGGCCACAAATCAGACCGAAGACTACATGAGTGCAAGTCGAACGCCAAATTTTCTAAAACTGGAAATTACCATGATAATTTACAAAACTTGATCATATCCACACGTAAATACAGTACATAAAAGTATATGTACCCTCTCCCTCTTTAAAATGTAAAAGAAAACTAGACTAAGCTACCGATATGGACAGATCCTCAATTTCCCTAAATATCTACAGGTAGTTGAATCCTCAAAAATTGGTTGTGATTGCTCTTACTTGTCCATGCCTGAAAAATAGGTCGCAACCTCAGTTGGTTTAAGGTTGCATCGTGAAAGGAAATCAAATATCAGCTCACACTGCAAACAGCAACTTGTAAAGTGTTGCAAGACAACTCCTTCTGTTTTGGGCTTAGGAAAGAAAACCACGTCTTTATTAAGTTAACCTCACCATATTGATTCAAAGAGGCTGGATAGCCTACTTCATCTTGAATGATTGTTTCAAAATCAAAAGGGAGAAGACCTAATAAGGCAGAAACAACGGCAATTTGAACACAAAGACCAGATTTAATGGTAGTGTCCAGGCAAAGAAAGGCTGACAAATTAGATCTCAAGATCTTAACTCCTCCGTCTTCGAAGCCTCCAGTAGCCACACCAAACCTACAATTCAAAGTTGAAAATTAATATAATCGGATGGTAAAGAGTCTAGGAATATAGGTGTAAGCTAGGTAGCTGAAATACTAGTTATTCAGCCCACACACAGCTAAAGTTTAACACTCGCTGACAGAGGCCTATGCCAGCTAATAAGCTTCCTTTTGGTGCACAAGTTTCATTTCTAATATATTTAGAACAAGATTTAGCATTAGAAATGAGAAAATTTATTCCAGGAGAGATTTGCAGTGTTTTACCTCCCAAGTTGACCCAGAAGAATCACAAATGGAAGACTCTCCTTAACTGATGACTTCAAAAATTCCAGCAGCTGAGAGATAATGTTAGCGAATGTCCAATTCCAGCCCTGCAATTGAAAAGCAAACCAGAAGCAATCTCAGTTTCGGATCTAACAGGATAAACAGCATCATGTTCCATATCTCTCGAGATTAAATATCAATTATCAAATAATGAAATGGACATTTACAAGAATTGCAGGTAAAGGAAAGCAATCCCTTCCAACACTCAAAAGATTTCAAGGTTTCTAAAATTACAACTGAACCTTAAAAATGAGATTTGTACAATTACAAATTGAAAATATGACATACATATACCTAACAGAATAATAACTAAAAAAACAACTCTCAAAAAGATGTTTGGGCATGTGTGTACCACAAGAAGAGAGAGAGAGAGAGAGAGAGATCAAACAGTGCCATTAATGATAAGTATACAACAGAAGCAGCTACTAGGAAACCAAATCAAATCTCTCTCAATGACTGAACACAGAATACCTCTCAATAATTAAACACAAGTATCAAATACTGTGACTAGTCACTTACGTCATAGAATATAGTTGAAACGTTGTATTTCAGGGGCACAGAGGATACAACAATATGGAAGCTTGATTACTCTGGGGATTTTTCATCTAAACCGCTTTTCCTATGCTGCAGTTTCAAAGGGATTCTTAAACAAGAAAATTTCAAAGACAAAGTTTGAAGCATCAGGTGCCAAAGAAGATTCAAATTTTCTAATCTTGAATCCAGTGCCAAACTAGTTTGCTTATGGTAATACCCAATTTTTTTTTATGCTGATCCAAAATAAGGGAGATTTCAAGAGCTCCCACTTGAACCCTACAACTCAGACCAAATTCATACCTCCCCTCACACCGAAAACATTCCTTTAAACCTAAACATTCCGAAATCTAGCAGAAATTTTTAGGATTTCTTGAGACAATTTCAAGATTCCTGGGTATCCGATCACTCATTGAAGAATAACTTGGTCTAAACGCAAGTGGACAAGGTCTGAAAGTAAAGCCTAAAATCATCTATATGACAGTTTTTTTTTTCTATTCCATCATATTCAAAGCGATCTGCTAAAACAAGAAGTCAGTCCTCAAATCATTGACAGACTATGTTAAAATTATTAATAGTGAAAGGTGAGGACCAGTACCATGTAGCATGCTAGCAGTTCAACCAATGAGATGGCATCGGTAATATCACACAGTGTGGGATTGAAGAGAGACCATGAATCATCATCAGACACCCTATACTTTTTTAAACAACAAGATGCATCACAGTCCAAATACAATGCTGGATGGACCTCTTGACCACTTAAATTTTCACAAGGAATCTGGTTGGCTATATTCTTCTCGGACAAGGATTCTGGATTTATTGAACCAGTTGGATTTTCTAAATCTTCAGCCAATGCATTCTTATGAATTAATCGCAATAGAAATGACACAGCCATGGGCATAGACATAATGTTAGCTGAAAAGGGGCAATAAGCGCATTGAACAAACTCTGTTCTACAATTTCCTTTGGGTGGGGTGAAAGAAGCATCATCTGATGATCCGACCACCTCAAGATGCGTGATTATTGATTTCAAGACAGCCATCAGAGTAGAGTAACCTTCCAAACTGAAAAACTGATCTCCACCAATATGTGCAAAAATATGCAACATTGTTAACACCAATGAAGACTCATACCTGCAGATCCTTAAAATACTGTATGATACCTCCCAAAGAAAACCAGTACGATGAACTGCTTTAGAAATTGATGCCAGTATGGAACTCCCTGCGATCAAATAGTTCGTTGATGCTGGTGTCAGTGACAATGCTCTGTTTACACCGTCAACAGAGATATTCACCCTCAAAACACCCTCAATCGATGTCTCCAAAGAGGCATCAATACATGATAAGATCCGTCCATCTATTATGAAGTCTTCTATGAGGGCAAGTAACTCATCCAAACAGAGCAATTCAGTAAACAAGCTTCTTATTTCCACATCAAGCATTGCTACCAACATGAAAAAAGGAGGAAATATGGAAAATATCATTAATATGAAACCAAAGAAAAAGAGAATGAAAATCTGTTTAACATTAGTCACTAAGAGAAAAAAGAAGGTACCTTCACATATGTGCCCCGAAAATGAATCCAAGTAGGTATTGCAGTTCAGAAAGTTCCCATATTTATGCACAGCAACAACATTGAAGTTGAGCAGCAACAAGGAAAAGAAAACACAAGCCTTCTCCCTGAAAGTCATTATTAGTAATTCAATTCTCTTAGAAAGCAAGAAAATAATTCTGAAATTTTAAGGATCTCTCTTAATCTTTTTGGGGAGGAGGGAATCATGAAATAGAAAATGTTTCCTAAGAGCAGTAACTATTTGCACTGGTACAGATAACAAAGATACAAGATAAGTCAGTTTGCAGATCAAATGAAACAACTTACATTGGTAAAAGTTTATGCTCCATGTTAAGGGAAGCCAAGATCTCTTGCACCATCCACTCTTTTTTACTAGTCAAAGAACTCCTCTTTGAACAAGCCTTAGTTGCTGAAAAAATTCTGGAGATGCTGCGGCAGTCTTTTGTATTAGAGAAAAGGACACAAAAATCAGGGATAGAGTTGTCCAGGGTTCCAGATTTTATTGCTGATGCTCCCACCCCTTCACAGCCAGAAAGAGGAACATTTGTCCCAGGCTTCTCTACAGTAATCCCAATCTGATCAAGACAGTTTTCTTCTGCATGTACAATGTCGCAAAGATCACTCCCATGTCTCCCTTGCATAAAACATGGATCAAGATGACGTTTACTGCTATGAATATCTCCTAACAAGCCAGAGTTGCAGTGTTGGGTATAATTGGACTTGATCTCAACATCCATGACATCATAGCTATGCAATTGTGGCTGACCTTCTTCATGGCGTTCATCTAGTAAAGGCTCAAATTCATTCAAAGTAGATGTTTCAGCGCCAGGAATATAAATATCTGGAAGTGAAGGGGACAGTGGCATTTCCATTGCTCTCCTGTAGCATTCCTCATCAGCGGCACTATCCAAATCTAGCAATTTCATATAGTCTCCATCTGATATATTCCCAAGAGTTCCCAGGGTTTGAAGTTCACTTATGGCAGAATTATTAAGTTCCTCTGAACAAGGCTGCAAATTGTCTGTAAGTTTGCTGACAGGTTGAGAAGGTTGTCTACCAAAACTTTCAAGCGCACGAACTTCAATGTTAACTTGAGTCTCCATCTCGTTATCATCAAGCAACTGTTCCCTTGTTTTCTTCGGGCACAAAGTCTTTCTCTTCTTCCGGGCCTTCTTATCAGCAGAAGGATCTTGAAACACGTTTGATATTACATGTCCCCTCTTTTCTAAGGGCTTCTCTGTAGGGCTGTTTAAAGCATGCAAAAGAGACAACTTCTCTTCAATCTGAGAATGTATTTTTCTACTCTCATGATATAAACATTCAATGTTTTCAACAGCTTCAATGGTCCTTTTTCTCTTTTGTTGTTTTTCGTTAGCTCTTCCAACATGATTTTTAATAGGACTTCTGACACTATTTTCTGCCATCCTAGCAATTTCATTGTCTTTCATCTCACTAACTTCACCAGATACATTGGATATTTTTGGTTTCATAATCAAGTTCTCTCCAACCAATTTCGCTGCTGTCAAACAAAGACCGGCCTTTTCCTGTGAGCCGGCCAACTGACCATCAGAAAAAGATGCCGTACTTGAATTGACTGCACAACTTTGGAACATTTTTCTGTCAGAGTTTACAGGATGAGCCTCCAACCTAGATTCAATACCTGATAAAGATGTGACATGATTCCCTCCAGATAAAGGAAGCAATGGAGCGTCATGTTGTGGGGTAGTCTGCCTGAAAGTATCAGGCAACCAAGTTTTGAAAGGCTCTATAGCATGTAGATTCTTATCTGCATACAAACTTCGCAAGTTCTCAGCATTCTTTGTCTGTGAACCATTCAATATGGAATGAGTGTTTAATCAAAAGTGAGTAGAGCATAGTAAGTAACAACAGCCCTTGGAGAGTAAAGAGCCCGCATTATAATAGAGCCTCCTACTCAGCAAGATAATCACTGAAAAAGACTCATACCTATATGCTAATATGTTTTGTTGTCTGTAATTATATTTGCAACGAATTAAGCAATCAGTGGAATAGAAGAGGATTATAATAACTCAACTAAAACTGAATATGCAATCATAAACAACTTGCTACCTCAAATCTTGATCAAGACATATGTGAAAGAAGATAAACAAGAAAACAAGTGAAGAAGGTGAAAGAACATTAATATCATCCCACCTTTCAGAACTTCGGTAGTAAAACAAAAGCGGGGGAGGGTTACCCTTAAGACAATTTCATTTTAATCAGCTCCACGTGAAGTATAGCAAAACTATGAATCTAGAGTCAATATGATTACCAACTTATTCTGAACTGGCAAGGCTAGTAGAAATTAGAGTTAGCAGAAACCTGATTGAGACTATTACCAACCTACATCTGCAATTAATTGGAGTGAAAAGTGGGTAGATCAATTCAACACAAGGAATGACAATAGTGTGATGACATTGTGCCTTTAGAAGTGAGTAAAAATATAACAATAAATATAGCCAACAGTTCTACTGTATGTACAAGATTTAAAAAAAGGTAAAAAAGTAATTGAAAAGGAAAAACCAACCTTTTCCAAGTCATCATTACCCTTAGCACCAGTAGAGGCAAATTTATGTAGGTTGTCCAAGTAGTTTGACAGCTGAACAAACTTTAGTTTAAAACGACCCAGTTCATGCTGAATAATGGAATGATGCGTATTTTCCAAGTTAGCCACTTCTCTAGCATGTTTCAATCGCGTCTTCTCAAACTTTAGCTTTTTTTTCAACAGCTTCATTTCTGCACGTTCAGAACTCATGGCATGTTCAAAAGAAACAGCAGATGCATCAACTAATTTCCTAGAAGACTTTAATTCACGTAAATTCTTTTGAAGTTTCTCAACTTTCCTTTTCTTTTCTTCCAACTCGAGAGCCAATTTATCGGCACGGCATTGTTCATCCATGGCCTTCTTGCGATAAATCTCTAAATGTTTTTTCAGTTCTGATGATTTCATTATGTTGGAATCCACTGGCTTCTCCTTCATAATCACCAGATCTCCATCCATCTTATGCATTATGTTAACCTCCTTATCCTTCAAAAACTCAAAAGCCAACTTTAATTCATTTGCATTTTTCTGTATCACTTCCAACCAAGGTTTAACATTCTTTTCCACAGCCTTACCATCAGTTTTCTCGTCATGTTGGCCACAACAAGATTCAATAAAAGTTTTCAAGGTCTGAAGTTCTTTGACCTGCTTCTGCAATTCCTCAATCTTGCAAGTCTTTCTTTCCAATTGCTGAAATAAGTTTTCAGCCTTAGATTGTTCTTCCTCAGCCTGCTTCCTGTTTGCTTCAGCTTGCACCCTTGAAGCATGTGCTTTAGACATTTCGGAATTTGCACGCTCTCTCTCTTTGGAAGTCCTTCGCTTTTCTATCTCTAGGCCTTTTTTAACCTCAATTAGTTTAGATGTTTCGCTTTCCAACTTTAACTTTGTTTCTTCATATTCTTTTTTTAACATCTCTAGCTGTTGTCTGCATTCTTTAACCTTATCCAATTCAGTTTTGTGAAGCTTCCTTAAGTCACTACCCTTACTCCTTTCAATCCTAACTGATTTCAAAGTTTGAGCAGCCTCCTCTTTCCTCACTTCAGCATTTTTCCTTTCAGCATCTGTCTTTCTCTTCTCTGTCTCTAGAAGTTCGTTTAGATGGCTGATTTCCTTCTTACCCTCAGCAACAAGAGCATTAAGATGCTCTACTTCCCTACAAACTTTAACTGCATCTACATCGTTTTGTCTCAATGAAGAAATGTGAGATTTCAAGTCCAAAATTTCCCTCTCCAAAGAAACTCTAATAGCGGATTCTTTTTCTTTTCCCTCTCTCTCAATGGAAGCTCCAGCCTTCTCCTCCTCATATCCTACACCCATTAATTATCAAAATTAAAAGAAGTAGTAGTAGACACAAAATAACATCATCCAAGTGTAGCCCTTCTTAGAAAACCACAAGCTCAACAGCTAAACTAAAAGATCTTTTTATCTCCAGTGTTTTTAGAGCAAGATGCAAGGTGATACAAAAACCAAATCGATGAATATACCAAGAAGCATAACTTTTTCATTGTATAAAGGTTGAAATCAAATCGATTTCTCAAGTAAAACCACTCAAAACAAAAGAAGAGATGGGAATTAAACATTTGGTGTCATTTGTCTGTTAATCAAATACATATGAAAATAGGGCCACTGGGAAGGAAAAATTTTACAACCGACTGTATGATAAAAATATTCTCAAATTGTCATAAACAAAAGAAAGATATAAAAAGTCTAGCTTTGTTTCACGCTTCGTTATTCTATTAACCATATGTCACATCTCCATGCTAGTGTTGGCAGAAGTATCACAAATTCTACAATGAATACATGTCTTACAGAAGTTCCGTTATTAAAAGATACAAAAGCAGGCAGAGGAAAATAATCATGATTGAGATTCTACCTTTTTTAAGATTAAGATTCTCCGCCTGAATCCTATTGATTTGTTGCTGAAGGAGCTTGACTGCCTGCCGTAAAGCATTTCTCTTCTCTTCTACCTCGGTGCACTTATCTTTCCACTGCGCCCATAACAACCATAATGAAATGAAACGAAATACAAACAAAAAAATCACCAAAAAAAAAAAAAAAAAATGGCAGAAGAGGAAGACGAAAGAAAAAAAGAAAACCTTACTCTTTTACAGCAGGAATTAGCCGATTCAGGGTTCGGTACGAAATCGTCCAGCATTTCCAAATGCCCTAAAGAACAAATGATTAAACAAGAGAAGTCGAATTGCTGCACTTAAAATCTTACAAACTCATAACTAAAACTTCGCAAGGAAGTACCAGATTATCGAAAACGTGGAATCGGTCGCCGGAAATTATTGAACAGCATGAGTTCAATAATCATCCACTTGTTAGCATTCAGCGCAGTGAAATCCTAGAGAAACAAGTTCCTCAAACTTAGTTTCAAGTATTTGAATGAAAACACTCGAGTACCACTTCAGGCGATCATCGCAAAAGCCAGTCAATGGAAGTCGGTTTAAAACTTTTATCTGCTGTAACGGATGGATGGAGCAAACACAAAATTGATCAAAGATTTTAGCATTGGCTTCACTGAAGTATTAACAATCCCTTCCTCGATCGTTGGATTCGCAGCGGTAAAGTTTATAATTGGTATTGTTTGAACTTCAAACAAGAATCAATGTTCTCTGCAACATTTTGGTTCCTTTTCATTGGTTAGGGCTTTAACAGAACCGTGACATGAAAATGAGAAAAAGCGGTGCTGGCAAATTGGTTCTGTTCCCGGTTTGAACAAAACCGAACCGATAAAACCCCAATTCGCCGCTTACTTATAAAACAAAAAAATAAAATAAATAAATGTTCTTATTTACCCTCGTTGGATTAATAGATTTTTTTTTTTATTCAAGTCGGTTAAATTGGTAACCCAATTCAATCTATAAAAAAATTTATAATCCAATACGACCCAAAAATTAAAAAAAAATATATTTATCCACCATTTATAATTTTTCGAATACGATAAAGATAATTAAAAGTTCACAAACAAATACAAATCATTCTTACTCTTCACAAACAAAAAAAAAAAAATCAAAAACAACTAACTAGAATTGTAATATATTAACGTAGTTTAATACTCTCATAAAACTAAAAACAACTAAAATATCGTCACTCGTTAAGAATTATTCAAGAATTGAAATTGAGTTGCGAACTAGAATTGTAATATATTAACGTAGTTCAATACTCTCATAAAACTAAAAATAATTAAAATATGACCCTCGTTAAGAATTATTCAAGAATCAAAATTGAGTTTAAAAAAAAAAATTAAAGTATTATAACAAAAATAAAATATATTATAATTGAAAAGTTCTAAATTATTATATAAATAAAAATCAATTTTTAAATTATATACACAATTTTTATTTAATTAATTATTTAATTTTCAACAACATTTAAAAAATAATTTTTAACTCTTTTGAAAACTATTTTTGTTGAAAACTATTTTTTTGAAATATATATTAAAATTCAACGACTAATCTTAATTAAATATTTTAAAATATTATTTAAAATAAATAAATAAAAACGTCACGAACACCCTTGAAAATAATTTGATATGTAAATTTATTTTATTCTCGAGTATAACGTAGTCAAATATGCTTCCGATTATATTTTACGAGAATGATATAAACTTTAAAATTTTAAAACAAAACGTTACCATAAGAGTTTAACCAAAATTTAATACAAGATTTAAGTACCATCTTCCTTATTTTATATTACATTAGAACACTTGAGGCCATACAAAAACTATACTACATAATAATCTTAGAACATACCAATTCAAGATACACAGATATATGATGGCAGGATAAAATCGAATTCAAAGTTGGGCAATTTCACACCATCCCGACGACGCCACACGACAGGAACGAATAAATCAAGCAATAAGTAGGCAGAAGAACAAAGAATAATGTTGAGAATCAATCAATCTCAGGAAGTTGCAGTCATAACCTATTGCTACTGATACAACACTACACCTGCTGCAGAAGTGGGTCATCGTCATCGTCATCGTCATCGTCATCGTCATCGTCATCGTCATCGTCATCGTCATCGTCATCGTCATCGTCATCGTCATCGTTTCTCAGCTACTTTTGAAGGTGGAGGCAATGTTCCAAACACTTTGTCCCATAGTGATGAAGTAATTCCAAAGCCTAGTGTTTGGATTCTGAAGTGATGGTTCAAGTGGTATTTCTGTACAAACAAATCAACCCATTTCCAGATTTCTTATATATAACAAAACTTGTATCAACTCCTACCTTCTAACATCTGTAATGCAATATGTATGTATGTATGTATAGGTGTACTCATATAAATACCGATATACGCTTTTTGTCATACAAGAACTACATCTAGAGTGCTATAGTTCAACTGTCCTTGCCAGTTGGATTTCATTTTTTAACGTGTCGAAGACCCGAAAGTGATTTGGATGGTATTGATTACCCATTTTGATCAAGTGGTCGGTTTGCTTTTGAGGGATCCTCAATTCAGCCTTATTATATAGTCTATCTCCTCCCATAACGTGATTCATGAAATCGTTCCTTGCCAACCAAGGTAATAAAGCCCACTATTTTCTAAGTTTGATGGGAGAAGTTTCGTCAAAGAGACTTATTTCTATGTCGAGGCACTACCACAAAGTGAGTCTTAATCAATAAGACGATTTCTCTTTTCCTTTCATGGTCCTCGACCAAGTGAAAGCAGATGCAAATGACTTAGTGTAATAGCCCAAACCCACCGCTAATCGATATTATCTTCTTTGGACTTTCCCTTTTAGGCTTTTCCTCAAGGTTTTTTTAAAACACGTTTGCGAGGGAGAAGTTTCCACACCTTTATAAAAAATGTTTCGTTTTCCTCTCCAACCAATGTGAAATCTCACAATCCACCTCCCTTTGAGACCCAACGTCCTCGCTAGCATTCGTTTCTCTCTCCAATCAATGTGGGACCTCACACTTAGGCAAGCACTTGAACTAGCAGATCCGCTTAAGAAAGCTTATCAGAGATCAACAGTTCAATATCAATGTTTACTGGAAATTAACTGGAACTAGCAGCCCATTACAGACTTGTATCAGAATGTGTATAATTCTCTCTTAGATCAGACGATTTGTATATCAGTCCTGCTTTGACTAACATGGGGGAAACATATGCATAATAAATGTGTTCTCATTTAATGGCATGCTTAAAATCCTAGCAAATTTAATACGCACCTTAAGGTTTCGTGCCGTCTCTCCAGATGGCTGGCCGTGATGAAGGTAGTGATGGGTAACATCATACATCACGTAGCCCAGCAATCCACCTCCAACCAAACAAGGTGTGGTAGATGGAGTGGCAAAAAGCTTTATCAAGTTCCAGAACTGGTAAGTCATGCAAGGAAAATAATTAGGATGACAAGGAAAAGAATTCATGAAACCGAGCTAATTACAAAAGGTGATTAGATGGCTGCTACAGGATTATGCAAGCGTGAACCCACACGTTCACCACAACATGATAAAATAAACTTTCATAGTAAGATTTATATTCATTGGATTCATGTTCATTATGGTATGAACACTAAGCACCAAAGACTAATGACTGTTTATGCCAAGAAGATTTGGTTTTATTTACTAACGACTTCTTTTTTTTTCCCCCCCAAGCGATGCCATGTTAACACGACCACAATAAGCACTCGTACGTATCTATGATCCAAATACCCCCATAACGACTGTGCAGGAAAACGTAGAACGACAAACATTTCAAAAATAATCCCATTCAACACACTAAAGAACAATTGGCCGCAACCGAACAGGAAAGAACAAGGAGAAGATCGACATACTGGAAAGAGCAGAATAGCAGTTGCAGCAGGAGGGAAAACGAGTCGCAAGCTATCCATTGGGTGTTTGTGGTGGCAACCATGAAGAAGATAGTGTAACGTGTTTCCCCTAAAGCATCCAATTCCAAAATGGTTTGAATCATCTTAATTTGCAAGTGAAAACCAAAACAATGAAAAATTTCTAGGCAGTGTTTAGGTTACTAACCAATAGCTCTTGGTTTTGATATGGAAAAGAAATCGATGAAGAGTATATTCGAGTAACGTCCACACAAAAACTCCAAATACCACCATCAAAAATAACTCTAAAGGAGTATGACCCATCCTGTAAGACATTGATATGAACCAGCAAACAACTGGCAGCCAAATGGAAGGAATCGCCCACCAAGCTGTACGAGTCAAGAACTATTTTGCACTCAAACAAAAAATACTTCGTTAATCATCGACACGTAATCTCGATAACTTCTCGAACATTGGGGGGAAATCAAATTCTTTTGAAAACCAATAAGCTCTGCCATACCTCCCAGAAATCACTTTCGAAAAACCGTGGCCCTTCTTTGCTGACAATGGGCTGGTGAACCCATTCCTGATAATCTTCTCCAAGATGTCCTACCTGATAAAGAAATGAAAGTTCATTTCTGTAGCAAGTTGAACTGCTAAGAATATTATGCCAACTTTCATAAAATTTTATCATTTCCAATTTCTTTCGAGGTAGTATCACAAGAACATAAACCGAAGAACATTACAACCACCAAATAACATCTATGACACAGAAATTTTCATTATTGGGCAAGAAAAGGTTCATTTCAGCTCGAAAGGCATAAGTCTAACCAACCATTTTCATTTGCATCCAAATTCTGAACCAGATTTATTCATAATATAAACACGATCGAACCGACATTGTCGCTACCTGGAATACAAGTGGCTTATTCAAATCAACAGTGAATCCCTGTGCTACCATCTTGGCCTAGACGCAGCTGCAGAAAAGAACTAGAGGATTAAACGAAGTAATCGAAACCGACACTTTTGCCTACAATAATTTGATATCACCAAGGAGCAGCAGCATAGAAGGAAATAGTTCAGACTTTGTCATGTTTCTCAATTGATAACTCTTAGATATCACACTGAAACTTCACTCAATAAAAGAGAACTTTATTCATTCATCTGCTCCTGTTTTCTTCTAAATAAACACATGAAACATTACACATTTTACACTTAAAAACCAAGAATCCATGCTGTAATTGTTCGTATTAGAGCATCAAAAGGCCATAATCTCAAAGTTTAAGCCAAGAAATAAATGAAAACCCACATCGATTCAGGTGGGGAAACCCTAGCTCATTTCTCCACAATTCACAAAAGAAACAGAGAGAAACGTAAATCAGAAGAAATTCCAGAAAATCCCTTCTCCAACACTCATAAAAAAAAAGGCCCACACTAAATGAAAACCAAAGAAAAAGAGCCCACGACGCTACTCCACAAACGAATCGAAAGAACAAAACAACCTACAAACCACAGATCTACAAACAGCCACGGAAACCTAAGAGACGAGAAAAACAGTGACAAACCGGAAAATGGAAATGTAGGTTCGGCAGAAGTGGCGGCGGCGGCGGAAGCGGCGGAAGCAGCGGCGATCTTTCTCGCTGTAGACAATGAAGTACCTCCACCACCACGACGGCGGCCACCGGAGAAGGAAAGTGAGGGAGTCGGGAGTGGCAGTGTGGTATGGGGAGGAAGAGAAAAGGAGCGGAAGAGTAACGCTAAAATAGGGGTTGAGATCTGGACCGTCCGTTGAGAACATGCATCCGACGAAAACGGCCAGCAGATTCGCATAGTGGAATCTGCGGATGCCAGTCTGGCAGGATTTGCCACACCTCCGAGACCACGGTTTACGGGCATCCAGGATGGCGATGGACCAAATTTTGTGTGTCTTTTAGTGTCTTTCGGGCCAATTGAACCGTTTTCATAAATTGGGTTGAGTTGAACTCTTAGCTCGGTTTGCTTACGTATGAATTGTTGGTTTAAAACTCCAATTTCACCTACTTTTATCCACTTCTCAGCTCTCGCATCGATGAACAACGTAACGAAATGCGATACTTAGTGTAAATTGTAGGATCCCATGAACCATCAAACCTCTGAACGCAAGTTGCACTTGGAGCCTTCTAGCTAAGGACACGTTTGCCTGGGCATCATGCATCGCTGCCCCCGCATGCAATACCCACTTGGGTTTGTTGCACTATCAATGGCACAGTTAGCCTTTTGTGCGCACCTTCGTGCGATTGACTTAAAATTAGAGTTGTAACAACCTTAAATTGATTGTATAATAAACCGACTTTGTTCTGCATGGAGTTTAACACATGGATCAATGGACTAATATAAATTAGAAAAATAATTTTATAGAAGTTTGAACTTGAGATTTATGTCATGAGTTCACATAGGTTGACTTGGATTTCAAATGATAGAATCGAACTTCATTAAGGATGAATTAGTGACAACAATATAAGATAGAGTAGAAATTGTATGAGTTATGAAGATGTATGAGTTGTATCATATGAAACATTATGACGTTATTTCATATTAAGATGATGTACATATATTAAATGTCATGATACATTATGACGATGATTTATTTTCTAAGACACAACCCAAATTAATGTTAATGATGATGTAGGTATGAAGGTCAATGCATGCATGTTACCTAGGGTAATGTGCGAACGGAGTATAAGGGCATGTCATTAGAGTACTTTCTTATTTATGATGATGAATACGGATGCATACACTATGATGACGATGATGATCACGCCTCGCATGACACTGAGGGTCTACTGATCTCTGGACGTTGCTACGTACAGCTAGCTTAACTATGATGGGTCCAAGAGGGTGCGAACAGCCTGAGGATCCACGTTCGCACGTGTGAGTCGTGTGTAAGGAAGTTAATAATGTTTGCATAATCCACCCCGCCTAAATGGTGTGAAAGTTATCTTATTTATAATCAAATAAATTACAAGGATATGGAAAGAGTAATAAATAGAAATAACAATAAATAGAAAGATACCTATAGTAATAATGTAAATATTATATATTTGCCTTATAATCAAAAATCAAATATAATATATATGGTAAACTATAATTTACTAAATATCCTTAACACCCCACCGCAAGCTAAGTGTTGGATTTAAACAAACGTGAAGCTTGAATCTGAAAAATTCAAAGAGGTTGAGAAACACTTTTCGGGAAGATGTCAACAACCTGGTTCAGAGGAGGCGTAGAGAAACACTCTCTTGGCTATCGAAAATTGCAGAGGGATCGCCGCTCAGCGACGATGCTGCCTTGGCTTCGGCGAGAATATGTCTAACCCATGAAGATGGATTGTCGCTTAGCAATGATGCTGCCTTGGCTTTGGTGAGAATATGTCTAACCCCAAGAAGTAGAAGGGGAAACCTAGAGCAAGGGACAAAGACAATGTTGAAGCCGAAAGAGTCTCCACATTGAGCGAAGGAGCCAATTTTAGCGAGAAGGGCAGCCAAAAGAGTCCCACACATTGGGCGAAGGAGCCAATTTTGGCGAGAAGGGTAGCGGCAACTTGGTTGGCGAAGAGGCTAGTGCGACGCCCAGATTCCAAAGATAAATCTCTACATAAGGTCGATGGGTTTATCGAGATTCTGTATATTTTCGAAGAGAATGCTGATGAAGATCCTAAGATTAGGGTTCCTGTGAAGGATGAAGGATGTGTTGGGTTTTATGTCTTAAAACTCATAGTTTGTAAACAAAAACATATTTTATTTTCAATAAAGTTATTATTATTGTTTATTCAGTAAAGATTATTATTGAATAAAGTGAACTTTACGATCATTAATCTAAATCCAATAAACTAAGAACACTCTGGCTATAGTATGATTACTTGAACTATTTGTAGAGACATAAGAGTTGATCAAGTTCAAGTATATAGTCAAAATGATCTATAGTATAAGGATAAGGCTGAGTACCTTATTCTGGGGACACTATGGATGCGGCTCACTTTTGTATATGATATAAACAATGTGATCACTAAAATTGTATATGTGGAGACATGTGAGTAGGGGAGTCCTATGCAATGAGTATTGCATAAGATCGGACCATGAAGAAAATCACTCTCACTTTATAATGTCGTTTACTGTTGAGACTGATTTTCTTTTCATTCGATGACCTAGGTAACTCAATCTTAATCCTGAGTTAACCATGAACTCCTGTTTATTCGGAATTATCCTTAGATTTGCATGGGTGAGAGTGGCTCAAGTTCGCCGACTCAATAGGCCTCCCATTTCAAGGGTAAGACTGGGTAAATGGTGGGGTGCAAGATGGATTTACTTCTACCCACTTTTAGGGATAAAAGAAAGGTTGTTCCCTTAAGTACTGACTCTAGGTCTTGAACAAGGGGCCCCACTCTTTCATTGGCCTGCGAGGGATCCGGTTTACTAGTTGGAACACAAACCAATTGTTCATTTGAGGATCAGTGAGACATAAGAAACAAGAAGTAACTTCAGGGGTAAAACGGTAAATTGACCCAGCTCTAGTTACGAACAACCTGTGAAGGATCGACTTACTAATCATGGTTATATCAAATGGACAGAAATATATCTATAGTGAGGGGAGTGCAACTACTAGGCTATAATGGAATGTCCTAGTAGTTAACGAATATTGGCTAACAAGGTTAATGAGTTTAACCGGTTAATCTTGGATCGTTGGAGCCCATGATCTATAGGTCCATTAGGTCTCTCTGCTAGCTCATATCGGACTAAACCATAGAACAATGTGACGAGTGAGTACGAAGTGTTCGAATTCAAATTAGGGTCAATGCGCTACATATATACGATATATTTAACCACATTTTTGTTTTATTTACGAATTAAACAAAAAAGAGAGAATATGAAATATTTAAATAAGATTTAAATATCTTAATCAAATATGTGTCAGAAATTAATTGGGATTGACATTTGAATTAATATTAAATATTAATTAAATAGTTCGATTAATTATTTAATATTACTTTAATTTGAAATTAATAATTCAAATCGATTGTTGAATCAAAATGAAGAAAGTCAAAATATTGACTTCATTTAATAGAAAAACCCATGTTAGTGGAATTTTGAGGTGTCAAAATTTGGTTAACTCAAGCATGCTTGCCACATAATCCCAAACATTTGAGTGTCAAAATTTGGTGATCTCAAATTTGCATGAACATGCAAACATGACTCCATAAATAGAGTGTTCATAATACATGAAAGGTCTTCTTGTTGGTGAAAAACCTTGAGAAAAACCTCTCACAAACACTCTCTTCATATATACAAAATCTCTCCCAAGTTTAGTCACTCACCAGATTCCACAATCCCGTTCTAAGACCGGAGGATAGTAGAGAAGACACTAGGGTGGTTCGAAACCGGTTCGTGAGGAAAAAGGAATTTGAACTACAAAAGGTTAATATTCAAACTCATTAAGTTTTAATACTTATGAACAGGCTAGTTATTTACTATAATTGATGTTCTAAAAGTGTCTAAGATCCAAATTGCTTCCGCATGTGTTATATTAACACCATCAGGATTGAAGGAAAAATTGGGAAGAAAATGAAAGAGGCTATGTTTGGAAAATGTGAGGTTGTATGTACAGAATATGGCGAAGGATGATAGGGAGGTCAAAAGGGTGGAGCCGAAGAGTAATCAATCGGCTCTGCATGTGGCAGCCATGACACTGTCCTACGACGTCAAAGTCAGCAGTGGTGGTGGAGAAGAACAGTAGAAGATTTCAAAAACCATTGAAAAGAAAGGATCCGGGTTGCTAAATCAAAATGGCTCTGATACAATAAGAATGTTTGCATAATCCACCACACCTAAATGGTGCGAAAGTTATCTTACTAAATCAAAATGGCTCTGATACAATAAGAATGTTTGCACAATCCACCACACCTAAATGATGTAAAAGTTATCTTATTTATAATCAAATAAATTAGAGGAGTAATAAATGGAAAGATACCTATTGTAATAAGGCAAATATTAGATATTTGCCTTATCATCAAATATTAAATATAATATATATGGTAAACTATAATTTATTACTAAATATCCTTAACAGAATACTACAAGTTCGCACGATGGTTTTAATGATAGGTCCCTTATCATGTGTTGCATGTGTTTGCACTCTCTGACCCCAATAGTAAGATCATTTACTGAGTATTTCTTAAGATACTCAAGTGTGCTACTTCTATTTCAGGTAAAGGCAAGATACCCCTGTACGGCTAACGACGATATCGCAAGTAAAGACCATGACACGTGCATAGGATAGTGGTATTTTATTATTTTAGACTTAGGTTAGTGTAGGGTGCTTCTACTTTTAATGTTTTATTTGGTATTTCCTTAGGTTATTTTAAAGATGCTTTTGAACATGTAAGTCCATGACAATGATTTATGATGAAGCTTTAAATGTCTAATTCTGCAGAAGAGCATAGGTTATGATGATAGTAGCGACTTTAGGTTAGTAAAAATGTAGGGTCATTACACCCTTGACTGCACAGAGTTACTATTCTCCAAAAACTGTAACATAAACTACTCTGATAAAGGGATATGGATTGTAATAGCTCAAGCCCACCGCTAGCAGATATTGTCTTCTTTGGGCTTTCATTTACGAGCTTCCCCTCAAGGTTTTTAAAACGTGTCTACTAGAGAGATGTTTCCACACCCTTATAAAGAACGCTTTGTTCTCATTTCCAATCGACATGGGATCTCACGATCCACTACCCTTCAGGGCCCAACGTCCTCTGCAATTGATGTGAGATCTCACAATCCACCACCTTCGGGGCTCAGCGTCCTCGCTGATGCTCGCTCCTCTGATAAGATAAGGAACCACTACAAGGGGAGTAAGATTCGGATTACCTTGTTGATCGAATATCTCAAGGCAAGAACATTGTTTAAGATTCGAATCACTCCACAAGCAAGATCGATCATGTATAGCTTGAATGATTTTTGTTGATCAAATATCTGAAACACTTGTTTGAGATTCGAATCACTCCACAAGCAAGATTGATCATGTCGAGCTTGAATGATTCTACATGCAACCTAAACTACATAGAATTGCAAATAAACTTAGCCATTGGCTAAAAAAAGCACAAATGCTTCTTTTGCTGTATATTTTCCAAGTCTACTTACAAATACAACATACATGGTTTTATATAGCCTCAAAATGAAAATACTAAAGACATTCCAAGAGTTGTAACATTCATTCTTAATGGTCTTAATTAACCCTTATGTAATTGTAAAAAGTAAATTAAAAGTCTTAAAATACATTAATGAAATACAATAACTCTAAATTGTAGTCCACCCAAAATTCAAAACATGAAACTTCATTCTTCTTCAATGTGACATTCAATGTGACATGAATTGAAATATCATTTTATAATTTCAACAATATTTTCTTCACATCTTCATTGAAGTATATTGTATGATTGATGTCTCTTGGTTCATATCATTCTCTCTCCAATCAATGTGAGATATAGATTGTAACAATTCAAGCCCACCGCTAGCAGATATTGTCTTCTTTGAGCTTTCCTTTTCGAACTTCCTCTCAAGGTTTTTAAAACGTGTCTGTTAGGGAGAGGTTTCCACACCATTATAAAGAACTCTTTGTTCCCCTTTCCAATTGACATGAGATCTCACAATCCACCCCCTTCGAGACCCAGCGTTCTCCAATCGATGTGGGATCTCACAATACTTCCCCTTCGGGGCCCAATGTCTTCGCTGACACTCGCTCCTCTCTCCAATCAATGTGAGATCTCACAATCCACCCCTTTCGGGGGCCCAAAGTCCTAACTGGAAAATCGCCCGGTGTTCAGCCCCCTTCGGAGCTCAGTGTCCTCGCTGTCACACCACCCTGTGTCTAGATCTGAGATATCATTTATAATAGCTCAAGCTCACTGCTAGCAGATATTGTTTTTTTTTTTACTTTCCCTTTCGGGCTTCCCCTTAAGATTTTTAAAACTCGTCTACTAGAGAGAGGTTTCCACACCCTTATAAAAAATGTTTCGTTCTCCTCTCCAACCAATGTGAGATCTCACAATCTGCCCTCTTTCGAGACCCAAAATCCTAGCCGGCATTCGTTCCCCTCTCCAATTGATGTGAAATCTCACATGGATTCACAATTGGTTAGTGATGCATATTATGTTCTAAGTATTATCGACTCCGAAAGGGTATTCCCCCGATCAGGTTCTTTATAATGTATTGATTGATTGTCTTGCTAAGATTGTCATATGTTTATCCAAAGGGTTTTACCAAGTTGACTTAGTGGCATGTAACTTGTCTTAGTGAAGCTTCCTTCCCATTCTCTTGCCTTGGAACTATATGCTGAGATGTTGGATAAAGGCTTAATGCCTGATAAGTATAGTGTTCTTTGGTCTTTGTGAATCAACAACAATTGATAAAGCCATTGGTCGTTGAAACTTCAAAAGCTTGCCATGAATGAAGTCTATTATTGTCCTTGTATCTAGAAGTTATGGTAATAAGGGTCTAGTTTGGATTTTGTCCTGAGTTCGAATAAATTGGCTTTTAAAGTTCATCGTGTGAATAGTTTCACAATGTTGAGTTTAGACTTCAAATGTAAAAGTAGCGAACAAATCAAGATGTTAGATTGAAGTTTAGACAATAACGAAGAATCAAAGACAGATTGAACTTCTTCAAACGTAGAAATTTAGAAGGAGTTCCATTTCGAAGAAGAAAGTTGAATATTTAAAAATAAAAAAGGTTGAGGATGAACTATAATGCATGTTATCATAAGAGAACACGCTTTTTGATAGACCCACGTCGGTTGGAGAGGAGAACCAAACACTCTTTTATAAGAGTGTAGAAACTTTTCCCTAGCCGACGCGTTTTAAAGCCTTGAGGGAAAGCCCGAAAGAAAAAGTCCAAAGAAGACAATATATGCTAGCGATATGCTTAGGCCGTTACATTTTTTCAACCGTGATGGTATGATTGTCGATCCCTCTTCGAGTTCTGTTTTCGAGTTTTTATCGGTCCTTTTTCATAAAGAAATGAATTTCTATTTTTTTTTTTATTATAATTCTTTAAATTTTATAAATGGATAATTGTTGTTCCTTGGAGGAGGTGGTTTTGTTTTGATTACTTTCCTTTAATCACGAGCGTTGAATATTAATCTTACTTTAGACAGTAATATTAATAATTACAAGTCTATTAATCAAATCTCTAAAAAGTTTGAAAATATAAATAGAAAAATAAAATTTTTAAAAAATTAAATAATAATTGCTAATTTATTATATTCCCAACTAAAAAAGGCCAGGAAATAATAATACAAAGTACAATTCAATGTTCAATAATTCAAAGTACATTATTATTATTATTATTATTTATTTATTTATTTTGCAAAAGAAGTACAAATTTTCATTAAAAAAAAAAAAAAAACAATTCAGCCTACAAAATAGAATTAAAATATTTTTAATTAAAAATAAATAATAATAATTATTATTATTATTATTTTTTGAGAAATTAAAAGACTTCCCCTTAGGCAATCCCTTATGTTTCAAGCAATTATTCAAATTCTTTTTATTAAAAGTGAAACCAAAAAATGATATAATCTCAAACTTCCAAGAAAAGAAAAGTTTTAATAATAGTTTTTTTTTTTATTATTCTTTTTTATTTATTTGTTAAATAATGTATATTTTAATTATTTTTATCTCAAATTATTAGTCTTTTTTTTAATTATTTATTAATATATTAATGTTTTTTGTTAGATTTGAATGTCTTTATTTTTATTTTTATTTTTTTTTAATATGAAAACTATTAAAAAGGAATTAAATATATCCCTTTTTTTTCTGAAACTATTATAAAAAGAATTTAAATACATCTCGTATTTTAATTAATTGTGAGTCATGATTTAAACCGTGTATCAAATATTTTATTATTTTATCTACTTATCCCGCGTGATTTTAGATATAAATTTAATCCCTTCTTCATTAAATTTTTTTTGGAGGCATAATAATTATTATTTTTTTCTAGATAAATATTGAGGGCGTACATATAACTAATTAATTAATTGAAATTTTTAATAAATTGTGTGAATTTTTTATTATCTAAATTGGTTAAACGGTAAATATAGTTATAAAATTTAGAGAGGGAAATTTAATTTATTGAAACTAGGGATATTTTAACCCAAAAAAAAAAAAAATTAAAACACTAATAAACACAATTTAAAAATAAATAGACTAAAAAAAAAAAATAGACATAATTAAAAATGAAAATAAATAAAAATCTATGGCTTGCATTGAAAGTTAAAGTAAATTTTAATTTAATTTTAAAAAACTTAATTGGGGCTTCGGATCACATGTCTCTTTCAATTACAACTCACTCTCTACCAATCATCCTATCCTCTTGTGCCCATAACATCATTTCAAATATTTTTTATTTTTATTTTTCTATTTTTACAAATTATTTAATTTATTTGTAAAAATAAATACATATAATTCAAAAATATTGTCAAATTAATTATTATTTTAAATATTTTATTACCTTTTTTTCTCTCTCAAAAGTCAATTTTGCATAAGTGATATTAATATTGTTTTTTAAATTATTTTATCAATTAATAATTTTTGGTGAGGATTAAATTTTAAATATTAATAAAATTTAGGAGTAAAAGTAAAAAGGGTTAAAATTATGAGTTTATAAAAATAGAAAAAGGATAA